GCCCTTGACGGGATTCGAACCCACGACCTTACGGTTGCGAGTCCGAGAGCCTAACCACTAGGCCACCGACGCCACAATTAATACGTCGAATCATATCAAATAGGAATTGTACGCAACTTTTTGTGAGTTCCCTAGCATTAGGTCGAATCATATCAAATAGGAATGGGACGCAACTTTCTGTGAGTTCCCTAGCATTAGGTCGAATCATATCAAATAGGAATGGGACGCAACTTTCTGTGAGTTCCCTAGCATTAGGTCGAATCATATTAAATAGGAATGGGACGCAACTTTCTGTGAGTTCCCTGGCATTAGGTCGAATCATATCAAATAGGAATAGGACGCAACTTTCTTCTGTGAGTTTCCTGGCATTAGGTATAATTGAACTACATCAGAGCTCAGACACAGAGCTGCTAGGCCTTACAACAAATCCATGTTGAGTGTCCACCGGTTATTATTCGCCCCTGGCCATCACTCACATTGACTAGTAACAAGATCTCACTAGCTCTGCCTCTCGTGGCACGTTATTACCTCTCGCTGACATAACTGAGAGATGGGCATGGCGGGCAGTGGTAGAGTTGTAGTAAAATCTTGGTGGGTGGAGAAACGTGGAGAGATATGGGAGAATGTGAGGAGGAAAAGACAGATATGTACGAGAGTGGGAGGATGTGGGTGGTTGGCGGGGGCTCTGGTGTGGTTTGCTTCTTCTTTCCTATCAAACATCTGTCGTCCTTATCTCTCCTCCTTCTTTTTTGTGTTTATTACTCTTTTGCAACACCTCTAATCTTCGGCACGTATATGACCTTATTGTATTGCAAGTGCTGTAAAACACTTACTTAAACTAAACTAAGAGTTGGAGGATGAGGCTGGGGTAGTGGGTGGGACGTGTTTGTTTGTTTGTTTGTTTGTTTGTTTGTGTAAAGAGAAGTACATCGACACAATAATGGTAATTTAATTTTAGTGCTGGGAAAAGGCCAGACAGACGGACAGAAACAACAGAGGAAAAGTAAAGACGTAGGAACTGCCACTATTGCCCTGCTACGACCTGCTTGGCCAATGGGAGAGTTGTAAAATCTTGGGGTGGGTGGGCGTGGCGCGAAGAGGTAAAAATCTGATTTACAGGGGTTGGGTAGGGGGTGAGATGGGGAAACAAGTGGAGAGGGGGGGAAGGGGTGGCCTCGGGAAAGAGAAGAGAACTGAGTTTGAATTTGAGTTAAAGTAAAAAACAACAAAGAAGCACAAAGACACAACATCGGTCATATAGTGCAGGAAAGAAGTAACGCAAATAGAAAGAAAAAAGAGAGGAAAAGAAATGAAGTAGGACCTACTGGTGGCGCCGACCAACAACCCGCAGTTGGGAAGAGAAATAAGTGAATAAGGGTGGAGGAAGATGACCCTGGATAAGGGAAAATGGGTTTTGTATTCTAATTATATTTACTATGCTTTGTATTCTAATTATTATCACGCTGCATGTACAGCGTGGTGTTACTGTTGGTGTTGTTACTACGAGATTGAGGGAAGACGTGAGTGGGTAAATGAGTGAATGGGTGAGTCAGTGAGTGAGTAGTGGGTCAGTTGGTGAATGAATGTGCGTGTTTGAGTATCTCACGAGAGAAAAAGACAAAGGATACAAAGGTGGAGAAGAGAGAGAGAGAGAGAGAGAGAGAGAGAGAGAGAGAGAGAGAGAGAGAGA